CAGATTTACTAATAGTACGCGTCTCATTTTATAGTGAAGGTTGATAAAATTTTGAAATGTAATTAACTTTTTGTCACAAATCACAATGTAAACATGTGGACACTGCCGAACAGAGACTAAATGCTCACTTTAAAACTGTCGATGGTTTATTTTTGAAAATACTTTTAATTAAATAGTTCCCTTCGTCATATATTAAAAAACTCTGTAGATCGGTAGGGTAGGAGGTTGTTAGGTAGTAAAGTACAACAATTTTCAGCCTCAGGGCGTGTATCAGGTGGTATATACAATCACAGCTTTAGCATGATAATTTTTTGGCCTCTATGCACTATAAAGTAATGGGGTAACAGCAATATTTATAACAGTATTTTTCTGATATACAGTACACACTTTATAATATGAACATAGTCTTAGATAATTCCATAAACCACGGAATAAATAACGGCATAAACCACAGCATAAACACCGTGATATCACACTCAGTCTGATATGCATATGCAGTCATATATAGTCATATGTACACACCACAGATATATAAACACTTTCATAGTCTATAGAGTTTGATTCAGTATTATATTTCACAAAGTACTTCATTACAGTAAAGTAATTTCATTACAGTAAAGCTAATGTCACAATTAATAAAGCTATTTATCAAATTTATCATGCGGACTGCATTCTCTAAATGTCCTAAATGTCAAACATGAAACATATACAGTATTCGTATTTGTAACATACACGCACAAACGAGTCTTTGACTTATCTTTGAGTAGGCTATTGTCGGATTATTTTACCGTAGGTTTGATAACAGGGAGGTATGCCTCGACATATTTCTTGAGCATCAAGTTTCAACAGCTTCTGGTTTTTCGTATCTGAGGATGGTTCTGAAGTTTCAGCAGTCCGAGTAGCATTGTTTACAAGCAACATTGTTTGCGATATTTCAGAAATCAAAAGATCTCTATATTTCGTTACACATCTCAGTATTGAATAAATCCTTGTAGTTTAGGATAGACACCAACAGCTAAATAACAGCCACATCGGTCAGTACTGGTGTAGAAATATATTTTCTTGTAACGTTTGCGACGTGTTGATTTCTTCGACGAGCTGTATCGGCATAATTTGTCTATTGAAATCTGATCTATCTTTGCTCACCGACATTCTGCGCACAATGAAATTTGATATTTACCATTGTGTAACATTGACAGTATTCATGACAAATAAAATATACAATTTTGTAAATATTTCCTGCACCATTTCTGGGCAGATTTCTTCGCTCACTCCTCGCTCAATGATAAAACGTACTTAGGTACCCACCCTACTTGAAATTTTTTGCTATCTCCCAGATTCTGGGAGACACGTGACCAGCCGATAGCAGGGTCTTTCCCAGCCGGTGGAAAGTCCCTGCGACGGAGGTTGGCTATCCCCGAGCCGACGGCGCGAAGCGCCGTGCGAGGGTACTAATTCCCCCCGGCTATTTACACCCGGGGAAACGAAAGCATTAGCGAAGTCTAAAGTTCATCAATGATCGCGGGCGTGGGTGACCAACGGTGTTGGGTGTGTTGGGTGGGTGGTCATCCTCACTGATCTCAAAAATATGGCGGACTGTCATGAGTAGCGGACACTGATTGGTCCAATTTAAAGTTTGCATTATAACAACTGCATGACGACAGCGAAATAGCAAACATTTCTTGATTTGATGATTGATAAATTTCTTGCAAATATATTTCATTTTTGCTCGCATTTTTGCAAGATTTTGTAAATTTCAAAAGCTTTCTCAGAATTAAAGAAAGGGCGAAAGAATCGGCTAAAAGAAGGGAGCCGACGTTAACGAAGGTAAGTTTGTTTTCAGAAATATTCATTTTATAATTGCTTTAAAACCCGACGGCCTTTGGCCCTTTGCGTATATGCATGAAACAACAAAACAAGACAGCATATAATTTCAGTGTATTATTAATATTGATTCCCTTTTTTATTATATTGAATTTTTTAAATAAAAAAGAGAGCAAAGTTATTTGCATGCGAGAATTTGAAGTCATTTTATTGCAAACTCAAAGTTTATTGATACACAGGCAGCCCAATCTTACCCTGTGTTATTAATTACGTTACATCTTTATATAAATAGTATATTGAAAATCATTAGAAAATCATGTGTTATTAATTTATTACGTTATATCTTTATATAATAGTATAATGAAAAGCACTTACATGTGTTTCTTGAAAGATTTTAACGAGAACCGGCCAAGATTGGCGTTCACAAGAGGTCAACGGCCATGGTTGGGGTTGACATGAGGATTAACAGCAAGAAATAATACAAGACTGGTCACTTTGACCGTTAACAACAACGTTGTTTGAAAGCCGACCAATGGCAACCCAGCGTGTAATTCGAATTTCAAGGCCATGAATTCAGATCGGTGACGAACCTCGTAAGATTAGTCATTTGTAAGTTTCAATTGGCATTTTCTGCAGGAAGGTTATTGTTCAATTCTGTTAAAGAAAAGTAATAATCTACAGCAGTATGTGCATCAGTTCATTCTACTCTTCAATCTGGTCGCGCAAGGTCAACTCTCTGGCTGAAATCAATTGATATCCCACCCTCCTCCCCGTTACTTGACGCAATATTATTACATATGTAAGTTAGTTTAGTTATTAGATTAATTTCTAAATGGTGGGCGTATTTATTACCCCACCTTTTCTGTGCGAACTTTTAATAATTAACTTCGGTTTATAATTTGTTATGTTAATAATTATCTCATTGTTTTAAAAAATTAATAAATCGGCATGTGCGTTGCGCAAGACGCACATTGCCATAATTATTCCAGTTGCTGTCTGACTTGGTCAATTGCGCAATGTTCGCGCACAGAAAACAGAGCTAATCGTTGCAGGATATCTTGCTGACATAGTGTTAAGAAAAGGAAGCGATAAAGTATTTTATGTAAAAATTATCGCTCTTCCGATGTAACGTAATTTGGCGAGGATGCGACAGCCGAAGTTCGCGTTATTCGATTGATTTCTGTCAGCGTTTGTCCCAATTAGTCGAATTAACGGTCAAAGTGACCAGACTTGTATTATTTCTTGCTGTTAATCTTCATGTCAACCACAACTATGGCCGTTAACCTCTTGTCAACGCCAATCTTGGCCGGTTCTCGTTAAAATCTTTCAAGAAACACATGTAAGTGCTTTTCATTATACTATTATATAAAGATATAACGTAATAAATTAATAACACAGGATTTTCTAATGATTTTCAATATACTATTTATATAAAGATAGTAACGTAATTAATAACACACTCAGGGTAAGATTGGGCCGCCTGTGATTGATAAAGCCATTTAATTCAAGGCAGTTTAGTTTTTATATAAAGAACACTTTAAAACGTTTTGTGAAGCGTTTATGGTTGAATTTTACCTTAAATTGAAGCTTATAATATTACGTATAATAACATACCTAACATATATATGTTGGGAAATTGATAAATGTGTAATTAGAAGCGATATTTTTAGGCGATTTTTCATTTGTAAGAATATTCTTAAAACATTATCGTGTTACCATGACAACTACTTTAGATACTTCATGTTCGGAAAATACAATGGTTTTGTCAGCAAGGCGAGGGTTTCTGCATATGTATTTTCTAGTATAAATAATATTATGACCGAAACGAAATGATCCCGGTTTGACTTCGTTCCGGTCTCATGTAAACGGGGTCTAAGGTGACGTATGGTAACGTCACTAAATTCTGTGACAGGAGACGTAACTATGTAACGTAACCTAATGGTAACGAGACGCCATTGTGGCGTCATAGATTTTGCATACTAATTACTTCTGCCGACAGAGCCGATGCTATCTGAACAAGGTGACGTCATAGATTTTGCTTACTTTCGCCGCTAGGCGATGCTCTCTGAACGAGATGACGTCATAGATTTTTCAAGCTCATTATAAATTTCGCCAGATGGAGGTCTATCACTACTTTTATCTTTCTCCAAACAAAATGGGAAAATTAATTAAAATTACAAAATATTTCAATCTTTGGCACGACCATAAAAAAGCAATGCTATACATGCAAACAGGTGGGACATTTGTTTATGCTGACAATTCTTTGATGTTCCGGTAAATAAATAACCCAGGAACTATAATGCTTTTGTTTTTTGAAACTTACCATGGTATCTTTCTCTCTCTGCCTCTGGTGAAGTAAACATTGAAGTAAATGCATTTTGGTTGAAGAGGTTATTGTTTTTGTCGCAATCGAGAAACACACATCAATCGATATGCTGTATCTTAGGTTGCATGCGTAGATAAATTCCCCACCTGTTAATGTTCAGCACAGACACGTTATGTAACATGAAGATCGGACCAAAATATTTTGAGGACAAACTTCCCAGCCAGAAATAGCATAAAATATTTCTAATAGCCTTTTATTTTTAAATTCCTATATGTAAATGTCTTTCTACAACGTCTTTTATAAACGGCTAATTACGAGATCTTTCTTTACTTTACTATACAGTAGATCAAGGAACCAGCCACATTCGAGGCTCTATCGATGCAAGCTTTACAAGGGATACGTCAAACAACAGTCATGTAACTATGTTTTTAAATTGGAACGATGTTACCTGGAAAAATGCGATCAATATCACGTATTTTCAAGTTCAGATAAGAGAAGGCAGGTCAATAATCTTGAAAGATTATGTCAACGCATCCTCTAATGTAAGTGATTGGCTATATACACTGCCTTATCGATGTTAAAGCGCTGTTCCCTTTCTAATTAATTAATTGTCAGGTATTAGTTATATAGCTGTGTTATTTATGAGTATGTAGATGCACCTTTGTTGAAAATCATTATGTTAAAAACATAAAAAACAACACTGTTTTATATTTTCATATAATTGTGATGGATCATGCATGGATGTTGTTTTAAGCTAATGATGTATCATGTCCAATGAAGAACTTATTATATATAGTGAATTGTAACACTATAAATTATAACCTAAATTCAGATAAATAATATAATTAATATACATTACATGTTTGTTTCGTTGTCTGCTAAGAAAGAAATAAAATTTTGTTCAGTATACGTACTGTAGCCTTTTTAATTAGAGCTTGAAATATAGACACAAACACTTTAATTTGAAGTTTAGGCCTAGGTGTGCTTTACTCCCCCTGGTTCTGGCATTTAGGTCTATTAACATAACTGCATTATAGATACAACACTGTTACACTCTAGCTAAAGCCGGCGGGCTCCCACTTGAATGGTCGTCCCCGTATTTCCTGTATATGTTCCAAATATCGTACATGAGTATGAATACATGTTTAACTAAGGAGTGTATAAGTACGCGTTTAACTAAGGAGTGTATAAGTACGCGTTTTACTAAGGAGTGTTGTAAACGCAACGCGCTGGAGGACGTATTTTCCGCGAAAGTTCATACATGTAATGTTGTCCTATGGGGTGTTCACTTCTTAGCTATTGGGGAGATGGTGATAGGACATGAGTGTTGAGGAAAACTAGCTGTGGACCACCGTGAAATCGCCCAACTCACGCCCAGGGGAAAATATAAGGTTGTACGGCTGATATATAGGCTATAGCCCAACGTAAGCTCCTGGAACATCTAGTCGTCAATTGAAATTCAAAGCCTTGCTATATAGTAATAGTAATAGTAATAGTAATAGTTTATTAGGACTCTCTTGCAGTTACAGAAACAACTGAATTAACGAGTACTTTACAATAGATAAGAATATGTTATAAAATAGTACATGGATATGCTTTAGAATCTAGGCTATTTACAAGAGTTAAAATCATTAGGCATTTACCAAAATAGTAAATAGTGCATGCATAATTATTTACAATTTTCATATATGTTAAAAAAAAATCTTAACATATTAAGAGTATTTAAATGTAAAAAAGGATTGAGCTTTAATTGTTCTGCAATCAGTAACATTATTAAATAGATGAAATCGATCAGTGTTCTGTCTCAAATTAATGTCATGGTCAGGAAAACATATTAAGAGTATTTAAATGTAAAAAAGGATTGAGCTTTAATTGTTCTGCAATCAGTAACATTATTAAATAGATAAAAGTGTTCTGTCTCAAATTAATGTCATGGTCAGGAACAACAGGGATTGGCAATAAGGGATGGTTTCTCGCCTCATTCTGACCATGTATTTCTGACATATTTGCACTCTTCTTGTGGTTAAAGTTGGTAGTTGTGCAAAATTCAGGGTCTCCGTATATGACTCGCTCTCCGAGAAAATTATCTTTAGTGCTCGTTTTTGGACCGACTCAATTTCCTTCGATAGATAATCCGGAATGTCTTGCCAAATAGGGACGGCGTACTCAAGAACCGGTCTTACTGTGCACAGGTACACTTTCAGTAAATTCTTTTGGTCAACCCCAGCTCTTCGCAGGACTCTTAAAGGGTATAGTTTTTTGTTAGCCTTCTTAACAATGTATTCGATATGGGGATTCCATTTTAGGTCGCTACTCAAAATGACACCCAAAAATTTATACGTTGTTACACGCTCAATAATATTGTTACCAATTTGGATTGGTCGGAGTAAGAAATTGGGGGTTATGTAGGAAGTTTATAAGCATTTCCTTACACTTCTTAGGATTGAGCTTCATGTTATGTTCATTAGCAAATTCATGTATATCAGAGACTGCAAAATTAAGGAGGCTCATAGAGTTCCTAGGAATAATCTTGAGGGCTGAAGTATCATCCACGAATTTTGTACGGAGATGCCAATTAGCCAGTAAGCTATTTGTCATGACCATAAAAAGCACCACTCCGAGTTTAGTCCCTTGGGGTATTCCTCCCTTCAGAGTTTGCCATTGAGAAAGGACACTACCAATTCTAACCGCCTGCCTACGATTGAATAAAAAGGCTGAGATCCAGGACAGCAAGGCAGGGTGAACCTGGAGCTTATACAGTTCTTGTATTAAAATAGAGTGGTCAATTAGGGCAAAACCTTTTGAGAAGTCTGCGAAGAAGATACGAGCACCAGCTTCGCCCCCGTCCAATGCCTCATGAATTGTTTGCATCATGTAGAGAAGGGCATCTGTTGTTGAGTGCCCTTTGCGGGCATATTGGCGAGGGTAGATTTTTCCTTCCAAGTCCTTTAATAGTCTAGTGCAAGTAAAGCCTTCCATAACTTTTGCCATTGAAGAAGTAAGCGAGATTGGGCGGAGATCATTTTCAATTGTTTGAGGAGGTGGTATCTTCGGAACTGGAATTACGATAGATGACTTAAGTGGTGATGGGATATTCGCTTCTTTCATTGACTGGTTGTAAATATTATGAATGAACTGGCAGTTCAGGAGCAAACTCTTTCAGAATTCTATTCGGGATATTATCAAGGCCAATCGCCTTACTAATTTGCAGTGATGCTAATGCTTTAAACACCTTACTTTCCGTAACCAAGAATTCTTCCGGGATTTGCATAGGTGGAGTTGGTTGGCTCAGAGGGGCGAAGTGATCTGTAAGACTAACAAAGAAGTCGTTCACTTTATTAGCTAGGGATTCTATATCCGTGTTGTTATCAAGGAACTGATGATACCATTCCTGTCGGTTATTTTGACCTGATAGTTTTTAATCTCTTTCCACCACTTTACAGGGTTAACTCTATCAACATCTGCTACCTTACTATGAAAGTAATTGGATTTTGCTGACTGGATCGCACGTTGAACCTTATTCCTCCAAAAACTATAGTCTTTAGAATTTTTTCCTTGTTGTTGGAATACACATTGGCGTCTAGAAATCCACAGTTTTATCGTATTAGTAATCCACGGTCGATCTGTCGGATGCTTTTTAATCATTTTCTGTGGGAGAAAGGTATTAACTGCTTGGTCAAGCTCTGACATAAAGAGGTCAAATTTATCTTTGCTCGTACTCGCACTTAATACCGATGACCAGTTTTTTTTGGTTATCCATCGTCCAAAGGCACACCACGCAGAGTTCCGCATGTCTCGGATTCTAATTTTGGTAATAGTGTGTTTAGATGATATTGCTATATTTGGTTTTGCTAAGATCGTATAGTGGTCAGACGAACCAACCTTTGGCAATCTAGATACTTCAAACATCTTAGGTCTATTTGTTAATAGCCAATCCAATACGGCAGAATCTCTGGTTTTAAAAGATATAAGTTGTTTAAGATGGTTCACCTGTGTGATATATTTCATTTTAAAACCTGTAGACGTGGGATTAAAGTCACCTGTAAGTAAAACAAGAGCGTTAGGTTCCTTAAAGAGTAATGAGTCAAGGTTATTCTGCACATGGTCTCTAAGGACAACATTCTCAGGTTCTTTATTGGATGTTGAATGATATATTACTCCTAGAATAATGGATGTAATTTCTCTTGGGAGTTTATGTGGTCTTAATGAAATCCAAATTGATTCTACATCAGATTGGTCACATGAATCCAAACGGTTACAAGGTATTTTATGATCCAAATATACACAGACCCCACCACCAGAAGATCCTATGCGATCCCTACGAAATAAGTTGAATCCAGGGATAGATACACAATGATCAGGAATGTCAGGTGATAGCCACGATTCAGTAATGCAAATAACACTTGCAGAGTTTAGCTCTGCAATTTGCTGGAGCTCGTCAATTTTCTTTGGTAAAGATCTAACATTAGTGGACAATATAGTCGGGATTAAATTATTTTATCAATTAAAGCTGCCAAGTATAGTATATAATAATTATCATCACAAAAAAACCTCTCCAGCTTCAAACACTATTTACTAAAAGGGAGAGAACATATTACTTCAGATCAACTAAGTAAACTGTTTATGTCTTCCAAAACCAAAAATGGATTATCTGAAGAAATCCGTATCATTTCAAGCAGCAACTCTATGGAACTCTCTTGATAACGAGTCAAGATCCTCGGATTACAAGACTCTGAAGAAAAATTTTATTCACCAGTTTTATAGTTAGGATTATAATATAGCATTTGTAAATTCTGAACGCTGATTGGCCAAGAGCCGTGTTGATATAACTCAATGTCAACACGGAAACGTCGGAAAATTTCTTTCCTTATGTTTCTTTGCGCTATATTATAAAACAAATATAAAACTTTTTCCGTATTGATATACAGTTATATCAAACACTCGTGGAAATTGGGAAACGAGAAATTGTGTGGAAACACGATGCCCGAAGGGCGGAGTGTTTTCACACAATTTCGAGTTTTCCCAATTTCCACTCGTGTTGATATATTAACTGTATATCAACACGGAAAATATTTTATATTTGTTAATTAATAAATTGGAAAATATCTTAATTTTATTTAATCTGAATTCACGACTGTGATGAATTGTCAATATTGCATTTCCATCGTTCGACCGCACACGATAAGTCACTTCAGCCTGCTTAATACCTTTTCCTATCCACTTAGTTTCAACCATTTCATTTTTTGGACGCTTTACTTCAATTGTCTGACCAACTGCATTTGGTTTCCATTTGTCACTATCATGACTGCATAGAGACGTCTGGCTGACCTCGCCTCTCTATATTCCCTTTAGCTGTCTTAACTTACATTCTGAATAGTTTATCTGCCTATAGCTATTACAGTATTAGGATTTGTAACTGTTACACCAAATTCGAGTTCTAGAAGCATGCGAGGAATTTTTTCGAAAACTAGTTCGTATAGGGGCATCCCAGTAGATTGGTGTTAGCTAGTATTGTATGCAAGTAGATCGGTTCCACTGCATGGGCACATAATTTACAAACACATATTTCAAGGTGCGATTTTGCGGCTAAACTTGGCCATCACAGGAAGGTTAATATGCTTTCATACGTGTTTTAGTTATGCCCATGATGTTACAAAATCTCGTGCATCAGGGGTTATTTGATTAAGTTCGACCCTAACTTATCCGATTGACAGAGTTTCTTAATTTTGACCAGAACAAATATCACGCACGGTGACTCATCTTGATAATTATGTTTACCCAGTGGTGTACAGTAGTCCTGGAATGTTAACAAGGGGGGGGGGGCTCTACAAAAGTATCCTGAATTGGCGGGCAGGGCGGGGGATGTTTACAATATAATATTTTGGAAATTGTAAATTTTGTTCGGGTATGGGTATGGGATTAAAGGTTTCTGTACCACATTTTGGGGACTGTGATTTAAGATTCCTGGTCTAAATTTTCCATATTGTTAACAGCCTAATATTTATAAACAGTAACATTGCATAACAGTAACAGTAACAGAGCTTTGGGAAAGCTCTTTAATAGCCTGCAGGGCCTCTTTCTAAGGATGTGTAACTGGGGGGGGGGGGACATATTTCGCGGGGGACCTGGAGAAGTTCCAGTCGGCAAGTCTGTATCACAGCAGCTACCAGCAAATATATGCGTGGTCTAATAAGTACATACGTCACAGGGCAGCAGATCAAGCCCGTTCAACTAAGATTCTGAGACAACCGAGTCGAGCGCCGAAGGTGCGAGCTCGAGCCGTCTAGAGGGGTCTGGGGGCTTCCCGCCAAGAAAATTTTGGATTTCCTGAAGCTGAGACAAGCTATTTCTAGCATTTTGAGGACTGTTCCAACAAGAAATTAATCTTATAAACAGTGACACAATTACTGCAATTTACAGTCTTCCAAATGTAATCCTGTCCCAATAAGGCAACATGATGTGATGATGCGGTAATAAAAATGTGCGTGGTATAGTATTATCATTCACCACACTTCAAATTCTACAGTACTATATTACATGTGTTGTATATTACATCGACGCATTCGTCTTCTTAGTGTCACTGAAGAGCAAGATAGGGTGGTCTCTTTGGAGTATCTGTGCTTGGAAAAACTAAACTAGAATATCGTCCTCAAATACCATTTCATGCCTTTTTTCACGAGCAAATCATTTCTGTCATGGTTTAGGTTTCTGGCGATGCTTAAATTTCAGTCCCCAATTAAATTCCTACCGAGTCGACTGACTCGGTTGACTCATAGCTAGTTACGAGCCTGCAGATAATGGTCAAATTCGGAAATGTTAACAACTTAAAATCATTTTCTCACTTTGATATATAATTGCTGGTTGACCACCTACTACAGGTAGTTCTGAGGGACCTTGCACTGGGACAAAATTGTTGACAGTAGGGGCCAGTATGAGGTCTAGGGGGACATGTACCCCAGTCTATATGTTGAAAGAGGCCCTGTTAATAGCAACTCATGTACATAAAATCAACAAACCAGAAAACACTCAAACGAAAATGCTCTGAACAGCTAGAGTTTAAATCAGACAAGCTGACAAGTTTTGCCTTCCTGCTTTTAGTATCTGTAGCGGATCGGTACTTCAATAGCCAATTTGCTACGGCAGGCTGTGCGTTCCATAAATGCGGGGGTGGACCATTTATACTGATCACCAAACAAAAGAGATGGCATGTTTATAACAGTAAGTTTGGAACGCGTTGATGAACAGACAAGGTTCATTTGCGAGAACCACCTTTCCGCTTCGGAGGAACTGCTGGAAATCGTATACAAAATACTTTGTATCAGTTTCTCCTTAATAACCTTGGGTGTCCTTCGAGGATCGTAGAAATATTCTGGTATGATGTACCGGTGAAAAAAAAAATAAAAAATGATACCACAATCAGGCACATGAAACCTTTGACAAATAGCTGTTATTGCCTTTTCTCCTTCTGACCAAGGCGGACATTATCTGGAATCAGTGCTTTCAATTGCTTTATTCCTGCCTCATTACTAGGGTTGATCATCCTTGCATTAATGTTATCGATTAATGTCTGGATAAACTGCTTCCAATCGAAGACACATACCCTTTTCTTGACGAGAAAGCTTCCAAGGAAACCCCTTTAAATCCAGAGATATATCCAGTTGTCGATTGAAACCTGTACTTTCCTTCCTGAATTGCTTCTTTAATTCGAAACAGTGCGTTTAACGTCCGTTGCAGATGTCTATTTGCTTCAACTAAGCTTGTCTGTTGCCGCTGTAAGGCTTCTGATAGCAAGGATAGTTGGGCTAAACAGTGCTTAACAATTGCCACATCTTCAACGAATTTTCTAGTTGAGAGCTTCTTCACAATCCCCTGGTACGTTGCACGGTCGGTATATTTAATTGACTTGTCCTCTGAAACTTTCCTAAAATGCGAATAAAGAGCCGGGTAATCATTCCATAAAGCCTTGGTCGCTCTAAAGGATGACGTAATCCAGCGAACAGTTAAAATTTTACCAATGTTTTTTACCTGCAGATCGAGATCCCTTGATATTTCACTAAGTTCTCGTTGTAACTTGGACAAGTAAGAATATACAGAATAGATATTGTCAAAAAAAGTTTGTATGGTATAGAAGCCATCAACTGATGATACTGCGTCAGAGATAGCCAATTCTAGGCGGTGATTCAGACAGTGCCACAGGAAAAGCACAAGAAATTTTTCTTTCAGTCTTTGGCCCACGCCGCAGTGTATTCCCAACATGACAGAAGCCCCATCAATTGTGAAAGCAATGAGATTCTTTGATAAATAATCCTCATCAAATCCAAACTCAGCAAGCGTTGTGAGAAGACATTTGAATACGGATTCTGCATCTTGGCCCTCTAATTCGCGCATATCGAGGAAACGTTTTCTGGAGTTTCAACCATTACTGCACGAATGTAAATAATTAGGCATGACTTCTCAGACACATGTACAGATGTTGATTCGTCAAATATAGTAGCAATTTTTCTTTCATTGTCTCTAATCGTACTACACAGTTTTTTCTCATATTGTCGGCGATACATTCAATCATTTCCGTGCAAGTGTCCCTAGAATGTAAAATTGACCCTATCTCTATTCCATTTTTGCTTTGAAGAGCGACCCAATAAAATATGCTGTCCGAAGGTATCTCTCTGTTAGTTCTCTTGAGTGCGCAACACGTTTGAGTAATGCTGTCTCGACCTTTTCTTCTTCTTTTTCATGTAGAATACCACTTGCAGCAATATGTGCTTGGGATTTTGCGTCTTTTTGAATCTTTTTTCGGTGGCTGGACATTTTGCTGAAAGACATTTTGCCGAAAGACATTTTGCCGAACGGACATTTTGCCGACGGACGTTTTGCCGAACGGACGTTTTGCCGAACGGACATTTTGCCGAATGGACAGTTTGACAAACGGACATTTTGCCGAAAATAGAGACATCTTCTGAACTTTAAAGGTTCGCTTACACGGTCAAAGTGTCTGTGATTAAAGTAATTAATTGTCGATTTTGATGACAGAAACTTTGATAGTGAGGTATAGTTTCGTTTTATATTCTTTCTATATGTTTTATATTTTATGTAATAACATCTTTATTTTCGATGCCGGTATGAAAAAATGTGAAACCGTAACGCTAACCGTAAGAGTTTGAAAACGATATGCAAACCTTAAGAGTTTGAAAACGGATCGGAACAAAATTCTACCGTCAGAGTGCCGTGTGAACGCCTAACCGTAAGAATTTCATTACGGTTATGCAAAAAGAAATTAACAAAACTGCAAAAGTTGTTGTTGGATATTTTATTCTGTCTATTTTAACTGATTTGTGCAGTATATTGCCAAAGCGGAATATAATCTGCCGGTATCGTGTGAACAGTTGAAACCGTGATGATTTTCTGCCGGCAGAATTCCATGCCGGTATCGTGTGAACGGGGTCTCAAACTTTTGACAAACGTTGACAAACGGACATTTTGCCGAAAATAGAGACATCTTCTGAACTTTAAAGGTTCGCTTACACGGTCAAAGTTTCTGTGATTAAAGTAATTAATTGTCGATTTTGATGACAGAAACTTTGATAGTGAGGTATAATTTCGTTTTATATTCTTTCTATATGTTTTATATTTTTTATAATAACATCTTTATTTTCGGCAAGTTTGTCCTTTCGGCAAACTGTCCGTTCGGCAAAATGTCCGTTCGGCAAAACGTCCGTTCGGCAAAATGACCGTCGGCAAAGTGTCCGTTCGGCAAAATGTCTTTCGGCAAAGTGTCTTTCGGCAAAGTGTCTTTCGGCAAAATGTCCGGGTACCCTTTTTTCGCCGTGCTTTCTGCGCTACTGCCTTCTTGCCATCTCTACGTACAGAACACGCACTCCATTCAGTACTAAATGTGACTCCTTTTGGTCGTGGAAGTTCCTAGACCTAGTGACTTCACTTTTCTACAAATACTGCACCCAATACTTCAATTTTCACAAATAAGCCATGAATATGTCATTATAAAATAGTTGTATTGATCTGCTGACCAGCAAATAGGGTATGTCTCCAAAGATTTTACTGTATGGGATTCACTTTTGCAAGAATGGTCAGCTGGTGTAATCCCAGTAGACGTCGCTCTTCTTTGGCTCAACATCCTTTCCAACCGTACATTCATTTTCAGCATCTTCATCACTTAAATTATTTGATAGAATGCTTAATTCAGTTAACTGAGGCTGGCTAGCACTAGCAAGATATGTCATGAACGCTGGCTGACTTGATTTATTTGATTGTTTATCTTCTGATTCCGAGTGACTAGATGCTTCAGTTGAGAAAAAATTGTCAGTTTTTTCTAAACTTTTATTCTTTTGGCTGGTGGTTGATCTTCAGTTCCATTATCCATCGCTATTATTTAATATGCATTTGTGACATATGATGCATTCTGGTTGAGAAGTCTAGTCTGTCAAGCAGTCTAGTAGAGCAGAGCAACAAAATAATAGTTTTAACCAGAATTGTTTCGATTTTTGGGTGCATTTGCGTTAAATAATCACAACAACATGCAATTTACTGTAGTAATAATAATAATAATAATAATAATAACAACTTTATTTATAACAGACAGCCTACATCACTACTCAAGTGCTTTTCAGCAGGGCTCTGTATATTACATTCCGTTATATTATTATGTAAGAAAGTTAAAAGTTCTATTCTATATAGAAAAAGTAGACTATATTAAAAGTTTAAGTTCGTTCTATATTGATTTAAAAAATTTAAAAACAGCACGTTTAAAATTAGATAAAGAAGACGAATTTCTAATATTTTCATCTAAAAGGTTCCAGTCCGCAATGAAATCACAGTTTGATCTAAGTAGTCCTTTGCAAGTACTGGATTTCATTGGCCGTAAATCGTTCTTATGTCTTGTATTGTAACCGTGAACATCTGCATTTCGGATAAATGTGTTATCAATATCATTTATCCCATTTATTGATTTATATACATAGAGGCATTTACGTATACTTCGCCTTTGCTTCAGGGTAGACCAGTGTAACATTCTTAGGGCATCACTAGAAGAGGAAAGCATTGGTCTGTCCAGTACCAACTTTGCTGCCTTGTTGTGCAATACTTGTAAACTATCCATCATAATCTTGTTTTTCTTATCTCCCCATACCAGGCTACCATAATCCAGTAATGACGTGATCATTGTATTGACAAATATTATCCGTGCATGCTTAGGTAGTAGGTGCTTTATTCTGCGCAGGATGCCGAGGCGTTGTGAGACTTTTATCTGTAGCTTTTCTATGTGACTCTTCCAAGAAAGATTCTCGTCAATAACAACACCAAGGTACTTAAAATTTTGGACTCTTTCCAATGGTGCATCATTTGCGATTAGCTGAATGTTTGCAAACTCTTTCAACTTTCTTGAATTTCCGATAATCATCAGTTTTGATTTGGGAACGTTTAGCAACAACTTGTTGTTCCGAAGCCAATTCATGACACCTTGTAGATCGAAGTCCAGTTTGGCTTGTAATTCTACTGCTGTTGAAGCCGGACAAAACATTGCTATGTCATCTGCAAAAATCACCATACGGCAGTTTTCCAAGCATGATTGCACACCATTAATGTAAATTATAAACAACAATGGGCCAAGTATAGAGCCTTGCGGCACTCCAACAGTGATCTTTAAGCTTTCATATAGTGAATTTGCAATGATTGTTTGTTGAGATCTGTTTGAAAGGAAAGATTGAAACCAGCACAGTGTTTGACCTTGAACCCCAACACTCTTTAATTTTTTCATTAGAACTTGATGGTTTACTGTGTCAAAAGCCTTTTTTAGGTCTAGATAAACAACACCAGTTACTTGTTTATTATCCATATGCTTGAGTATGTCGTCAGTAAAATTAGTCAGGGCCATTTCAGTTGAACGATTTGCTCGAAATCCAAATTGCGTCGAGGTTAGGATGGAATTTTCCTTTAGATAACTACCCAGTTGATCATGTGCAATCCTTTCGATAACTTTACTAACGGCCGGGAGGACTGAGATAGGGCGATAGTTATCTTTAGATGTCCTTTCTCCATCTTTAAATAACGCAAACACCTTTGCGGATTTCCATCTCTTAGGAAAACATCCATTAAGGAAAGAATTGTTGATAATTCTTGTAAGTACGGGAGCAATTACACCAGCCGCATCCTTCATCATTCTTACACTAATCTTGTCTAATCCAGCACTTTTGTTAGATTTCAGCTTGAGCAACTCAGATTCAACATAGTCACTTGTGACACTTAGAAGCTGAAATTCAGATGGATAATTGTACTTAATGTTGTCAGGCCAGATAGTTGGTAAATTAGTGAAAACTTTCTGAATCTTTTTGCCAATAGAGGTGAAATATTTATTAAGAATCGTGGCAATGGTCATGCTTCCAGCACGTAATTTGCAGTCGTCATATATGGCGTTTATATCGGAGTTTGTTGAGTGTGGCAGGGTTTCTTTTATCGCTTTCCACATCTTTCCCCCATCACCTTTACTGTAGGCTATTTTCTTGGGTTTATTATCTCAATTATAATAATGAAATTTTAATTTTCTTCTAAAACAGTGACCTTTGTTCATAATAGTAAATTCAGATTCTTCAGTCACACAGATACAAAGGTATATAAATTTTTATATATCTATATTCGGGCAGTTTGCCAGTTTTACTCATTTACTACCTGTGTCTAATTACAAGTAGCTAACATGTTATAAATAATTACTTACTTGATAATTATTAAGAATTATAGACATAGTAAGTTCCACTCGTGTTACGTTATGTAGCGGTTTATGAGTTGTTTTCAGACGAGTGTATACCAAACCGGGCAAGCAGAAAATTCTACTTGACCGCGGCTGGGATTCGAACCCGTGACCTTCGCATTTCTAGAACGATGCTCTACCTTCTGAGCTACAAGGTCAAGCTGAGAACGACGTGTTAAGTTATGATGTTATTCGCATTTCGGAGGTTAGTCCTTCAATGCGTAAAGCCAGCTATTAGTCTGGCAATGTTGTATGTGAATGTTGTGGTTTCCCACGTTGACGATTCCACTCGTGTTACGTTATGTAGCGGTTTATGAGTTGTTTTCAGACGAGTGTATACCAAACCGG